GCCACCCGGGTGCCCCCCCCCATCTCCCTTTCTATACAGAGCTCTGACTGAGAGCCTTCAGAAGGCAACAGGATCTGGCTAGAATTTTTCTTGCCATTTTTTTTTTTAAGATTTTATTTATTTATTTGACAGAGAGAGACAGTGAGAGCAGGAACACAAGCAGGGGGAGTGGGAGAGGGAGAAGCAGGCTTCCCACTGAGCAGGGAGCCCGATGTGGGACTCGATCCCAGGACCCTGGGATCATGACCTGAGCCGAAGGCAGATGCTTAACGACTGAGCCACCCAGGCACCCTTTTCTTGCCATTTTATTCTGAATTTTTTTTAACATTTAGAAAAATGAAAAGAATTTTATAGAAAATACCCAGATTTTACTATTAACATTTTATCACATATCCATCTCTCCATCCACCCACCCAACCCTTTGCTGAATTTCAAAGAAAGTTGAAAATTTGGAGGAATCTAGCATATAGCCTGGTGATTATAGTTAGTACTTGAAAGTTGCTAAGAGAACAGAGATTAAATGTTCTCATCACAGAAAAGAAATAACTGTGATGTGATGGAGGTGACAGCTAACACTATGGGGGTAACCATTTCACAATATATACATGTATCAAATCAACACATTGTACACCTCAAACTGACACAATGTCATATGTCAGTTGTATCTCAATATAGCTGGAAAAAAATAAAAATAAAAAGAAAGTTGAAGACATCAGTCTACTTCCCCTATAAACACTTCAGCATGCATATCATTAACCAGAGTTCAATATTTGTTTAGGGCTCTTTTTTTTTTTCCTTCTAAAGTGAAATTTACATACAATGAAATACAAATCTTAAGTGTACATTTACAGAGACAAAGGCATATGGAGGAGTAACCCACCTCTATCAAGGTTCAGAACATCACCATCACTGGAGAAAGCTGCCTCATGCCCCGTCTCAGTCAATCCCACCCTTCTTGCCAGCATGTCAACCGCTATTCATGTGTTTTTCCCCTACCCGAAGTGATGGCCTCATTTTGGACCATCAATTATAGACCAACCTATCTGTGATAAGGAGGGACTTTGAAGGAAAGCTTGGTGAGGGTAGGAATCTTTTTGTTCACTAGAGTATCCCAAGCACTTAGTACAACGACGTGGGATGTGGTAGGAGCTCAATGAATATTAGTTGAATTTATAGACACATTTTT